TTTGATTTTTCTCAAAGGAAGCAGCCAGGGTATGATTTTAATTTCATTGACCAGTTTCACAATTGCCGTGGTGGAGGTTGGTTGTCGTTTGTGCTACTACGATTATTTTAAGTTTATTGTCGAGTTTTACGAGAAAGATGATTATTCTATCCAATTATTACGTATCCCTAGCCCTTCCACTTCTAATTAAGGTATTGTTCTTTTGGATATGGTACCCCCCAAAGTTTTTAAATACTGTAACATTTAGGTTAGTTTAAGCTAGGCATACCAGGGGTCCGCCTCCAGCTGGGGGTCAGGTTTGGCCTGCCAGGGATCCGGGGGCAGAGGTCCCGGCTAGGAGTTAGGTTAGGTTTTGATAATCAGACGACTCATTTTCGTTTTCTGCCCCACCCAAAAACCCCGATTTCCCAGGCTGTCCCCCATTATTATTATTATTATTATTATTATTATTATTATTATTATTATTATTTGTTTATTTATTTATTTTTTATTTATTTATTTATTTTATGGGGGGGGGGGACTAGCCATTTCCGCCAGAAATGATAGTCAAAGATTAGTTTAAAACACACCAAAATACACTGGGAAAACATATTGGTCAACCCCTAGAGACTTATGTCCTAAAGTAAAAATTTACCTGATTCAGAATAAAAATAGTTGCTGTATGTGTAGATTAAGGATGGATTAAGCCCTGTCCACGTAGCATGCACCACTGACAGTTATAAAGTAATAAGCTTCTACTGTTAGATTGTCATTCACCCGTCATTATTTCACAAATTTTGATATTTCGTGGCACTCTTTCATAACATAAATTCCCCGCAGCATCATAATAACACACCTACTGTATATGGAAACGTGAACGTGTGTGCAGGAAACGACAAAGGACAGTCACAGGACGTCATTCATGTGATCAGGGCCCAGTCACTGGTGTGTGCAGTGTTGCCATCTACAAATTTACATTCCCGCAATATGAGACTCCAAAATCCGCTAGATTTAACCCCTAACCCGCTAGATTGTAACTGTACAGGTAATAGCATGTTACCCTCTTTATATATACCGTATATAGATATATAGACAATTAAACTGATTAATATATATATATATATATATATATATATATATATATATATATATATATATATATATTATATATATATATATATTATATATATATATATATATATATATATATATATATATATATATATATATATATATATATATATATATATATATATATATATATATATATATATATATATATATATATATATATATATATATATTTATATATATATATATATACGTATATATATATATATATATATATATATATATATATATATATATATATATATATATATATATATATACATATATATATATATATATATATATATATATATATATACATATATATATATATATATATATATATATATATATATATATATATATATATATATATATATATATATATATATATACATGTATATATACATACTCCCAACTGAGCTCCGGCCGCGCGCTTACCAGCCAATCAGCGTACAGCTTTTTTTTCTTCAAGTTTTGAAGCTCCAACAACTTGTCCCTGAATACAAATTCACAACTTTTGATTTACAGCAGGTACCTACTTTGCTGCTAGGTGAACAGGGACCAAGGGAGGCTGGGAAGTGTCCGAACAACTTTCCACCGGCCAGGGAATCGAACCTCTGACATCTCGCTTGCGAGGCAAGAGCGGTACCGTTCTACCCACCGGCGCCCCCTACAGAAACATTCATTTTATGTTTGTTGTTATTTTTGTATTGTAATAGTTTCCTTATGTTACTTTCAGATGTGTTGTGAAAGGAGTTAATTAAAGCTTGTTTAATGGGCAAACAAGTTTTACTTCATCCCACCCCTTGTTATGCTGTCAGCTGTGCTCAGGCTTAAAACGTGAGTAGGAAAAATAAGTTTGATTCAAGTTAAGTCTATTTCCTAATGTTTTATGTTTTTACTCTTTTATGTGGTTTAGGATGCAATACAATACTTTATAATCTAGGTACAGAATGTTTATTTACTAAATACAACACTAAAACCAAAAATAGACAAAACAGTGCAATATTTTTGTCTGCTAAATGTGCCACAAAGGTAAACATCCACCACAAATTTATTTATGGGGTTTAGTTCGACAACTCATTGATATTAGTTTACATAAGTGATACAACTGCTGTGTACAATCTCACAATCAATATAATTTCTAAGTTCTTCTCTGACCTTTTAGTTTTATGACATTGAAAATATTTGTTAAATTTTTTAGTACAGCACAAGGAAGAGATCTTTAAAGACAACACTGGCACTTGGCTGGCGATGATACCATAGTGGTCATTTCCAAGGGTGTACTGTATAATATTGGGGCATATCTTAAAATTACCATAAGTACTCATAATATACCTATTCTGTTTGCAGTAAACAAATGGAAACGGGGAAAAGGCTTTTTGAAATAACTAACAATATCTGTTGATGTTTGCACTCTGCAATATAGCAATAATACATGGGACAGTTCATGTAAGTATACAGTATTTCATCATTTTGTAATTTCCTCTGAAAATGAATCAACTTGATGGCAATATATTTCTTCAATCTTTTAATTTTATTATTTTATATAAGAAGTGCTTCATGTTCTTGGATGGAGTAAGGTACTGTACTGCAATCAAATCAAAAAATATTTAGTGCAATATATTTAATATTTTCTTAAAATTCTTATTTAAAAGTAATGCCAGTTGAATACAATTGCAAAGAAATATTAACAACATAAAGAAACAAAGTACCAGTACATTGTATCTTAATTATAATACAGTATTTTAGTCTCCTATTAAACTTGCCACAAAGGTAACCATCCACCATAAATTTATTTAAGGGGTTAAGTTAGAGAATGCATTGATATTAATTTTAAGAAGTGATCCAACTGTGTAAACGATCTCACAATTTACATTATTTTTAAGTTCCTCTCTGATCTTTTTACAATTTGCAACATGCTGAAAATACATCCCTAATATGATAAAGAGTTTGTAGAGTATTAAAATTCTCAAATACAATACGTTTACCTGTACTGTATTTGTAAAAATATAGATATACAGTATATTGAATTTGAAGTTAGATGAAGTGTCTCCTTCAGACCAGGTATTGAGTTAACATTTTCCCATATACCGTATTTGTGGTTTTATTAGTTTCCCTCCTTTAAATGTGTAGTGGACTTGTTCTTATATTTTCGACTGTACTGTCACTCCATTTATAGAGGGAAAGGTCTGCTGTCCACCCCTCTTTCCATATCTTTGATGCTTCACTTATTTTTCTCCTCTAAAATATATAATGTTTGATTGACTGGTCCTTTACTAGATAACTTTTTCTATCAATAAAAGTTACTCCTCTGGTGAGGAAAGGCAATGGACTTCCTACTTCGCCGAATTTCAATTCATTCTTAAAACCGCCATGAACAGACACTATAAAGATTTTTCAAGCATTCCTGTTGTTTCATCTTCACCTAAAGATGATGATAACCTTTTTAGCATACAATAAAAGAAAACTAAGCGGTATGTGTAGAAAAGTATAATAATGAGAGCATGACGGTACGAAATATATCATGCTATCAATTGGGAAAAAGAAGTGATACAGTTATGAGTAAAATTAAAATTGGTTAGGCCTGTGTGGAGTTGATAAACTTCCAGTAGAATTTGTGAAATAAATGAGACCAAATGTTTGATTTAAATATGTAACTCTTTACTGCAAAGGAAAACTTCCCAGTGGGTTTTAAGAAAACCAGTATGTATGCTATTTCAGTACATACCTACAAAACCAGGAGCTATTAGTGTATCATTTTTTTTTTTTTTTACTGGGATTAGCTCACCCGGGCACAGGTCACTGACCCACATCGGGGCAGGTGGGGCAAAAATCTAATAACAATAATAATAATAATTCAAAATAAATTTTAAAATAAAAATAATAATGATAATAATAATAACAATAATAAAGACATACAAAAATGAAAAAAAAAAGATCAAGAGTGAGAAACAATATATGTATGTTGTGTTGGCAATGGTAAGAGAAACAATCGAGACCCTGCAATTGTGTGTAAATGAGGCAGAAAGTCAGATCAGCAACCTGGGACTTGGTCACAATTTTCGTGATGCCATACGGCAGCAGGGTCTACCATTAGACAACACATTATGCTTCCAATATCTTCCCAGGCAGTAGTACCTCCCTGTTTGGTAGCTGCCTACTACCTAGCTTGTTAAGTCACATGTGTAAAGCTTTATTAAATATAATTTTCAACAGAAAAACTAAAGTACTCTGAGTAACGTTACGTTAAAATGATTTATAAAGGGAAGAGAAACTAGAAAAGGTATTAGAGAATTTTAGGTGAAAAGGCTTTAGAGCAGGGGTGGCTAAGACATTGAGTGCGATCTACCAGTAACGCAAAGCAATTTCTGAAAAATCGTGGGATGGGCAGTAGCAGTGTAGCCCATCAACAGGGATCCTACAGGTACAGTACACGTGCAACACCACTATCCGTCCGTTATTAAAAAAAAAAAAAAAATTATATATATATATATATATATATATATATATATATATATATATATATATATATATATATATATATATATATATATATATATATATATATATATATATATATATATATATATATAGTGTAATAATAAATTATTTACATTAATGGTAGCTACATTCATGACACGTTTTGTCCTTGCTTCTAACAGTCATTTAACACGGAAGGATCATTTAAATAATTTGGGAATAATTAATAAATAATGTCACAGAAAATTATACCACTAACATAAAAATCTGCCAAATTTCACCCACTGGGAGCCTGCACACAGCTTTCTGATGCCATGCAGTGCAAATCATCACATCAGTAAAATAAGTTCTCCCCCATGCCAGTCTTAGAATGTATGATTATACATTGAAAATTATATAAGCACTTGCAAAATTTTTTTATGTATTGTATTAATTTAATTTTATTATTAGTTACACTCACTCACTCTCTTTCTCTCTCCATTAAGACTCAAAATCTATTCATTATCTGCTGGAGGTTAGAAAAAATTGGGCTAGTAGATCACGTTTGGATAACCATGGAAAAAGTAGATCCAGTCACATGAAAGTCTGGCCACTCTTGCTTTAGAGGTTCAAAAAATGTGTACAGTACAGTACATCTATTTTGTTTATTTTAAGAGGCAACTGATGGGTTAAAACTGTAGTTGTGGTGCAATTTTCTGGAGTTTAGTTCCAATCATGCATGTCAGGAGTCCTGTGCAGGTTATATATATAAAAATAAGTTAATTCTATTGCAATTTTAAATTTTATTATATATAGAAATAAGTTATATAAGCATTCTGTGATCTAATCTCAAAGTATAATGGACATTAATGATATTCTCAGTAATTACTATAATTACAAATTCTTGGAAGTTTACAGTTTTTTTTTTAAGAATTTAAATGTTTTACACCTTGGAATTAAGGTGGTTATTTTTTTAAACCCAAACTGCTCTGAGAGGTCTATAATTCTGATCTGGTCATTTGGTCCGACCTCAACTGAAATATCTGATTGTGGCAACTTTAATCACTGTCCCCTTTAGTGGCACAAAAATAATCAGCATCCTCATAGAAAATCAAATTTACAAACAATCTGATGGAAATAAAAAGATGCCTACAGCAGTCTTATAATCCCATCATTAATGACCACAGACACGTACAGTAATAATACTGTACAGGCAGTCCCCGGGTTACGTACGAGTTCCATTCCTACGGATGTTCTTAAGATGAAAATGTACTCGAGTCAAACCACATACAGTACCCTTATGTGCATACCTTACTTACAGATGAATGTTTAAAATTACTAAATCCTTATAAACATCTAAAATCACTTAATTTAGGAGAAAATAAGAAATAGAATGACACAATACAGTAAATGAAAGTAAATAAGTCATCAGGTAAATAAAATACTGTAAATTTAAAATTTAACCTCGTTCATATCAGCGAATGTTCGTAAGTTGGACGTACATAACCTGGGGACCTCCTGTATTCTTAAATCTCTGCACCAGACTGAGGTTCTTGTTTAGTGACCACCTGTAAGGTCACATCTTCGACGATGTGGTGCACTGCAGTCTCAGCCTGAGCATGAACTACATGTGTATCTACCTCCCCTTCAAAGGCTCCTTCACCCTCAGTGAACCCTTCCCCCTCTGTGAATGCCCCTGTTTCACCTTCTGTTTCTAAGCCATCAGCTGCCACACATTCTTGGGCATCTGTATCTTCATCACATAAATCTGAGTCTGCCAAAACAGCAACCTGAAATAAGGTGACACAAATTCACAAGCCATCTATTAGTAGTTCTACTAACATAAAAAGATACAGCAGACTATAAATATTGGAGACTAATATGCCAAAAGCATTCATCCAACTGCAAGTAACCTGTCACATAACATTGTTTTTTTTCTTTTCTGATCAGGTATGGTACTCTCTCATTATTAAAGTGACCATATTTCTTGGAGCTAAATGTGGGACATACCAAAAATCATGAGAAAAACCCTACAATAAATACACCAACACCGATTATAGTTATACTTGACCCAAAACTAAAATAACTGTACCTTCTAATGCTCATACTTTTCACTGGATAAGATTTGTTTTAACATCTCTGGAGCTGATCTTAGCATAATGTAGAATTCCAGACAGGTTTGACTGAAGTTAACTTTTGTGACTAGTAAGACTTTGAGGTTTGGGACTTTTAGTTGTGATTTTTCATGTCCACAGTTTGTTCATTTGAGAGAAAATACATTCAGTAGATGAATTTGTTCCAGGGAGACGCAGAATGAACTGAACCAATTTTAACATGTGCCGGTGGGTAACATTTCTGTCCTTAACGTGAGTGAACATTTGTACCCAGCGCTGGTCTGTAGGTAACTTAGCTGCATTACACTCTGACACTTTTTCATCAGAAACAATAACTTGTAACACAGCAAAACTCACCAAATAACTCGTTATCAAACTTTGAATCATTGAATATCTTTTCTGCAACAGTATCCATTATTTTCTCAACGTCTTGCCAATTTTGGTATTTGCTTTAATGAGGCCCACTGCATATGTGCAAAGTGTTGCAAGTGACCCGACCACTAGCTTAAATACTGAATACATGTGTCACAAAAATCTTTCACTAGTTTTCTCCAATGCAGATAGGCAAAAATACATTGTCTTTCTTGGACTGCAGATTTTGCTTCAAATCATTGATTGCGATCATAACTTCAACTGTTGTTGTATCTTTAAGATACAATGGTTGTAAAAAAAAAAAAAAAAAAAAAAATCTTCAGCACAAGACACTGCTTTGACTGAGAAAATGCAACTTTAAGCCAGGAAACATTTCAAGAATTCTCTCCACAGCAGGCATTAGTGCTAACCATCTTGTTTTGCTGTACCCCAGTAGCTATTTATATTCAATTTCCACAAAATCGCAGAAGTCCTTCAAGTCTTCTACTCTAACTGTATACAAGTAGAAATATGAATATTTTAACAACTGTTTCCACATCAATTGGCAAACAGTAGCAGACAGTCTGCACATCATTATATAAAATGTGGGCACAACAACCAATACCAATCAATTCTTTACCTAAGTACGTATTAAGTTTTCTGAAAATTTTATAAACTCCTTTTCTTTGAGCTCCACCAAAATTACAGTTTGTATTATCACCGCAAAAAGCAACTGATTTCTTGCCAAGATCTGTATTCTTTGATAATATCTGTTAAATAGTTCACCATAATATCCGAGGTTTCTCCAGGCAGAGACTGAAAGACAATGAGTTTTACTTGAACACCTTCATAGGGCTGAAAGAAGCGAATCAGTACAGGGAAGATTTTGGTGCTCCCGTGGTTGGTTGCATCAGTTAATATTGCTATACAAAGAGTATCCTTCAACTGTTTATCCAGTTATGATAAGACAAATGATGCAAATACATTTGTAACAATTGTATGCCATTTAGCTCTGGCACATCAAAATTTTGGCTGAAAGCTTTGATTCTCTTCAGTTGTACGGTAGACCCAGAAACAGTCAACAGCAGCCACCTCCAGATCCTTACTGCTAGGGAACACACTTTTAAAAAAGGTAGTGACTGTTTTGCTTGATGAGGCACTGATATCAGCAGCTTTGTGTGTCTGTGAGATCAGATGCTTAGCAATATCATTATCTCCACCATGTACAATGCTAAACTGGTACATTTCATACACTATACAGTACATCACTTTGTCTTTATTTTTGTAAAAAAGGAGTAGGTACAGTATTTTGATTGCAGAGAGGAATTAAAAGTACTATACACTCTGGCTTTTGCATTTTCCCAACCAAAATGAAGAAAAACCGTCCAATACAAAATAACTTTTCAAATTTTTTTGTGCATGTCACGTGTGTAATACTCCAAGTGGCTTCACCAACACTGAGGATTCAGTGAGCAGTTGCAGTCTTCCGCCTGTTTTCGTAAAATTTCTTCTCTTTTTGGTATACATTTTCAATGTTTGTACGTAATATATTGAGAATTAGAATGCAACATATGTACAAAAACCACTGTGACATTGCAATGCACTTTTTATTTTGGCCAAGGTCTTTATAAATGGCAACTAACAGAATTTTACACTCATGTGAATGAAAAATATTAAATTTATCAAGTAACATATGGCATCTATGCACACAGCCAGAACAGGACAGTAAACATATGAAGCTGGAGGGCTAAGTTGCCAAACATTACTTTTTGTGCCACTGCCAACCTCTCTCAAAAACGTTTTGAATTTTTTTGTCAAAATTTAAACTTTCATTAATGAAGCGGGACACTTTGGGACAAATTCTGAAAATGCGGGACGTTATCGGGAAGCTGTCAGAATGCGGGACACTCGTTGAAAAATTGGGACGTCTGGTCACCTTGCTCATTATATTGTCACAGCAAAAGCAAACCTGATTTTGATTAGATTGCCAGAATGTTTTTTTTTTTGCTTGCTCATAGTTTTTGGTGCAAATTTTTTTCAACCTTTGTTTTTCTATAAACCATAAATTGTTGAGGTTCCAACTTCACACTCTTAACTAGGCCTCTTTACAGCGACTCCACTGTCACATTTTTGTAGCAGTTCCAAATTTTTATCTTTGGTGAATGATACAGTAGCTGTTGGCACTTTGCAGGCCATGCATTTTTTAAATAACATGCTGGTCTTTTGGAAGGCATTACTATAAACTGATAGCTAAGGGGTAATATTAAGAAAATATGAGGCCTAGAAAAATGCTTTATCTATGCAGTTATTTGGGTAAACAAAGATGGTGGTGTCAGATGATCGACACACCAGAAAAATGGAGAGGCAAGACAATAATGTACAGTATTTACAGATTTTTTTTCTGGTTTTCAAGGGGAAATTCTGGAATTATGAGAGGATCACCACCCCCCAAGTACAGATGGTTTTATAAAAGGAATATAGTTGAGGGTACATCTGTATTATAATCTCTAAGAGGTATATTAACTCTCCTTTAATATTTATACCATTTCTTACCTGGGCCAATATATCTGCAGGTGCTGCTTCACCATCAACCAATCTTCCCTCTGCTCTTAACCTTTCTTCTGCTCGCATATGGTACCATTCTCGACGGATTTCTTCCTCCTAGTAAGTAAGCACCACATTAGAGCATCACTACTATAATTAGTATTTAATGCAATTATTCTGATAAACCCTAATATTATAGCTATCAAAACCTTACAAATTAAAGTCTTAGAGTGACAGGAAAGTTTTCAGCATCCCAGAATGGGAGAAACAACATGTGAAGTCTCTCCTTCCCCACAAATGTTTGGGGTTCAGAAAAACTAAGGTCATAAATGAGTCAAATCATACATCAGCAAAGTTAACTTTGTTTGGGATATAAGGGGTTAGGTATTGGTTCTTCAAGATCATGTATGAGCCCCACCCACAAAATAGCCGAGCTTGGTTACACATTTTCCCACTAATTTAAATGTGGTGACATGAGACAAGTTTGAGCATGTTCTCCTACCTACTACAGGATTTGCCCAAAAGACAGAAAGTGTTAGTTGCCACACATCACTCGCTACATTTTGACTGTGTTGCCCTACTGTTCACCTAGCTTTCTATCACTGTGTATTTGTGCCTTCTGTGTACTAGTTCTGTATTATGGCTCCCAAGCACTCTGTGATGCCTAAAATAAATGTCTGTTTACCTTATGTGTACAAAAATTTCATAAGTTATCTTGAAAACATATAGTCATGGGTTATGTTGAAAACATAAAAATCTCAAGTTTGGGAGGGCTTAGAGGTTCTGAAAGGAGTGGATTTTAAAGAATAAGGTTAATCTAAATTTTACAATAAGCTGATTTTTTCCTCAGCTCCTACACTGTTAAGCAGAGAAGTATATGAAATTTCTCTGAAGACTTTCCTGGTGCTTACCTTGTTAAATATCTCTTCAATATCAGGTAAGAGCTTTTCACAAGCTGTAGCAACTTCTGACGGCTTGCGTGAATTGCTTCGCCCGACAGATTCTTTATAAAGACGTACTTCTCGGCGTAGATTCTTCATCTTCACCTAGATACATGAAGATTACACTTAATATAATAACCTTATCAATAACAGTATACTGTATGTGTATTTCAAAAAATTATTCTGAATGAGCGATAACAATCATATTTCACTTTCTCTTAAATAACTTTGCTCACAATTTGGTATAAAAACCTCATCAACTTCCCATTCTTATATATTCCTTTATCCTTTATCTTAGTTATGAAAAGGGAGCTACTTTCTCACTCTCAACATATCAGTTACTGTACAATCTGACCATATACCTTAATAAGTAAGCTAAAAAAATTGCAATACTAACACCTATGACTAACAGTCTAACAAAGCAATATGGGGAGATGTGTTCGGTGATAGGTCGTTGAACAAATTAATTAACTCAATTTTGAGCGCAACGCAATAATTATGAGGTCCACACTGTTCAATTAAGTCTGCCATTGATAGAAATAGAAGAAAATGGTTGCCGGTTAGCTGAGAGGGAAGCCGGGAGCTCTGTTTACACAGGCGCCGACCGTGTGAAATGATTTTTGAGGCAAGAAATTAATATTCTCAAGTAGTCATTGTAATTTTTGAGTGCCTGAATATTGAACACATTATGTGCACCAAAAGTGGATGGATGCTCAGAGGGAAATGTATGGTGGTGAGCCCAGGGAATTGCAAAAACTTAGGGACACCAGGTGGGCATGTTGTTACTTGGCTTGCAGGAATCTAATGGATAGATTACCTGCTATATTACGTGTTCTGCATGAGATAGACCTTGAAAACAGTGGAGACATCTGTAGAAGCTCAAGGTTTCCTTACACAAATAGACCTCACATTTATTGGTCTTCTTGCAACTTTTCAATAACTCCTTGGGGATACTAAGTTGCTATCCAACATGCTACAATCACCTTCGCTTGACCTAACTAGGACCGTGGATATGGTCGAAGCACTTCAGGATACAATTCAGATGTACAGGAACGAGTCATTTGAGGAGCTATGGAAAGGCATTGTAGACACTGCTAATCAGTGCAATGTTGCAGTTGAAAATGCTGAGAAGAGGTCACAAAAAGTCAACTGCAGACTGGGTGGGTCTATTATAACATCCACAATAGGTGTAATGTTGGTGGCAAAGACAGCTTCAGGAGGAGAATATTTTACCCCATCGTGGACACCACTGTTTGTGAGTTGCAGAGACCCTTCTCTAAACCAAATTGTGACATCATGAAAGGAATACATGCCCCGGATCCAAAGAGCAAGAGTTTTTTGGAGGAGGAAGCTGTATTTTGCTTAGCAGAGATCTATGAGTGTGATGTTGAAGATCTCAGCCATGAGCTGCACCAAGCAAAGAAGATTTTGGAAAGGAAAGCTCAAAGTGGAATGCAGAAGCTGTCCAGTGTATTAGAGCTGACGGTGTTCCTAGAGCCCTACAAAGAGGTCTTTAATGAACTGTTCCGTCTGTGCAGGATTGCCTTGGCCCTCCCAGTAATCAGCGCTGCCTGTGAGTGCAGCTTCTCAGCTCTTTAACTCATAGAGAGCCATTTGTGCACAACTATGGCAGCCAGCAGACTAAGTAACCTGTGTGTTCTCAGCATTGAGGCTAGAAGAGCAAAGTCATTAGACATGGACGAGTTCTTTAAAATGTTCGCCATCCAGCACGAGTACAGGCGAATTTAGCTGTTCTAAAGGTGTATATAGCTTCGCAATATAAGGGTTGTGACTTTGAACTTTATGTGAATTTTATGTTCTTTTTTGTGCTCATGTATTACAGTGTGATTCTGAACAATGTTCATGATATTATTGAAATTTCATTTATATTATATTCAATAAATGGAGTTAAGTGGATTATTACCTTATCACGTATCCTTATTACTCTAAGATGATTATTAGGTTACTGTGGTGTAACCTCATTTGGACATCACTGGTTGGGAATAGCTAAAATGCAACTTGAGTTATTTTTATTCTTCAACAGGTTTAAGTTGGTACTATTCTTGAAATGTTACTTAACAGTTATAGTAGACACTTTGAAAGTGAAATTAGCGTTGTATGCTCATTTTCTTAATATATCATCTTGGCCTTGAGTTCAAACATGGAAATAGATAATGTCATGAGTTTTGAAATTGATGTATGAATTATTTCAATAGGAAGATGTACAAACCTAACTTGAGGCATTAAATTCATTGAACCACTGTATTAATGCATTTCCATCATCTGGCATTCATTTGAAATTTTATATACCCCTCCACACACACACACACACACACCAGGCCTGTGCCCCACCTTGGCTACCCCATCCAAAATGTCCTGGACATGTCACTGATATCACACCCCCCAAACTAGTTTACTCTTACAAACATCAAATAAAAATTTATATTGTACTGTATCAGGAGAGTATTTACTGCAACACTACACATTAAATCTAGATTTTTACTGATTGCTAACTAGTAAACCATACATTGGTAATTATAGTACAATACAGTATACAGTGTGTGCACTTCACCAACCTGACACTGTCGCCAACTCTTTTGAATACCCCTACTCTGTAGTCTGCGAGCCACCCGCTTGCACAGTGCCATTGATCGGATAAAGTATGAAGGAGGCACCTGATAATAGAATTAAACAGTTAAAAGAAAGACAACAAAAGTATATTTTTCTCATGAAATAACAGTTGACTGGGGAATACTTTTCTGTAAACAAACCAAAGGCTGTTGTTATGAAATATACAGTACAGTACACGATAAATCATCCTCTTCATGTCATTTATTTTTATACATAGTTATTCCCTGTCCAATCATGAAATACTACTGGAAAAAACCTAGCTTGTAACCAAGTGACAATTTTCTTTGGTAACTCTTAAGGGACTTACCTGTGTAAGAGTTTCCCGCCAAACTTTAAGAAGTGCCTCAGTATCTCTTACTGACCATATCTTGCGAGATGTGCAAGTACAAATGTCGAGATCATCATCATGGAAGTGTCCTAAAAGTAGTTGCAAAGGTATTAAACTTTAAGTTCTTCCTACCGTCCAAAGGCAAAATCTCTGATGCATTACATTACCAGTACAGTATTTAAACAGACACCACCACAATCATTATCCTTGTTCCTTCATTAATAATACAGTATGTATATGTAAAGTATGTATAGAACTTTAAATTATTACATAATTTGCAACAGAGATAATATACAGTACCGTATAGATACACATCAATGAAGAGGAGAGAATAGTAAACCTGGAGACTGCAGGTAATCACACAAACTTCTATGCAAATGCATACACATGCACACATAATGCCACACAAAATATACCTGTACAGACACAAGATTAATACCAAATTCTTTTAGATATAAAAACTGTATTATTGTTATCCGAATGAATAATAATTCATATGAAAAAAAATATTTCATCTGATTATTGTTTCTTATTTCTCAATCTTTATCTAATTTTCCAAACAACTGAAACTTCTAACAGTTATATAAGTGCTGTAAATCTTTCAGAAAAAAAAAAGAATATCAGGGAAACTGTAATGATCTTATTCTTAATCTCAAATTTCTCCATAGAAAACTAAAATTATCTACTTCCATAATAAATGCATACCAGGTGATCCCAGTCTTCTTATTTTGTTAATTGGCTCTGAGCGGTCGTGACCACCATCCGACCCATCAGTGCGCTGCTCATAACAAACTATGTTATTACTAAGGTGCATGGCTCGTTTCCTAAGAGCTGATCGTGCTCTGCGTCGTCTCCTGAGTCCTGTGCCTAAAAAATTTAATTAATAGTGAAACAGATGCAGGTTGTATAAATAAATGTATAAAGAGTTAAGAGATTGGAAGAGCAAATCTGCTATACCAAATGAATCATCAACAACAACATTTTACAGCCATTTTCTTCAAGAGCTGCACTGCTAACACACCTGGTGGTGGTGGAGGTTGTGACCTTGGGAGGATGACAGGTTTACGTTCCACAACTTCCCATTTATCACGATTCTCATCAGAGTCACCTAAATCAACCTGCGTTAAAAAGATACATAATTTAAAGACACGTTCTCTGTGGAAAAACAAACAAATAAAGAGGGGGAGAACACTTCCTTCCTACAGAAGAGGCTATAGGACAATAATATCAGAGTTAATCAACATCAGGGTTATATACAGTAACTTCTCATTTTTTATACCTGCTGTGTGTAACGATGGTCTTTAACACGTCGACCCTTGACTGTAGTCGTGGCAGTCGAATCCACTCCATTCCCTGTAGGTACACCGCCGGCTGTGGAGACTCCACCCACTGATGGTTTTTCATTTTCTATTTCTGGTGCCATGTCCTGAAGGATAAATAACATGTAAACAGTAAAGCTCACAAAGTTATCACTGTATAAGTGCAGGCAAGGCTTCCTGTTTCTACTCAATTTCCTCATTATGTTCTTAAGTAGATCATCTATATTTGAATCTTGCAACGCAATACAATATTATTTCACTTGGTCTGAAACAAATTTTAGTCTTCCTATTATTTACCCACACAAGCACAAACATTTTCTTACATAATCAAAACTTGTATTCTTTTGAGTAGTGATAATAAAAATAGTTAAAGCTTGGTCCAATTCTTCGTCACTTAGGTTTTATAACTACAACACAATTGTTACCTTTAACTTCAATCTTTTGATTTTGTTATATTTAACAGGAGCAAATCATAATGGTGGCTCCAGAAGACAGATCATGGGGTAGAGGGACGAAGAAAAAATACAGACAAAGAAGGATAGAATATAAAGTGCAGAAGAGACACACTAAGATGGCAGACAGATGTTGGGAGCATTTTCAAATAAATTACAGCAGAATAAGGAAGTAAACTTCTTTCTAATTTTAATTCTACTATGACTTACAACATTTTTAAAACAAAACTTACATCAATATCACTATCATCAGCATTATCCTCAAGACCTTTTATTCTCAGGTACCGAGCACCCCGAATGAATGCTTGGAGACGCTCCTGGTTGACACACACCTGGCCAGAGAGCATTCATTTAAGATATCAAAAATTGATTATGCAAATGAAAGCTCAGGACAGTGAAAAAAGAACAAAAATTTTGACTCATAAAACAACCTAATTCTTAATAGAATTACTGCCCCAAGCTGGCCAAATAGAATTTTAATAATTTTACTTGAGGGAGGAATGTCATTGAAAATTAGCCAAGTTCTACTTTTCTGGGGATGTAGCTAACCCACAGAAGCATGGAAAATTTGTCTATAACCAATGATAATGATGACTACCTTGTCTGATCACTATGAGAGATATCTAAATTTATGGAAATAAAATATTCACATCCACCACAAATGGCGATGCAAACTTCAATGATCGATAGTATCTAGTAACATTAAAACTTTTATTATGCCATTTTGTTCAAGCAACTGGTAAAAATATGATTATAGTTTCTCAAATTACTAAGCAACTGGTAAGAGGTTCTGTAATAGTGAAAGCCAGCCCATTCTTTATCGGTGTATGGCTTGCCTTGGGAGAGGAAAGGTGTATCATCTCAGCTTCAACATTTTCTCCATACAAATTTTTAAGGAAATATTTCAAATAAAAATATTAATAATAATACTGTAATAATAAAAATAGTAATACAATTATAAAACTTTATATTTCTTGACACAGTTGCAACGTCATCAATTAAACTCTGGAAACTACCACTTACACAAAACCTCAAAGCTATTAACACAGACATACCGGTACACATTGGGAGTCTTGGGACTGCACGAGACCTCCATGTCACTCGACCAAAATCTAGCCAGAGTATATCCCTACGTGAAAACCTGTAATACCGTAGCAATAGGTGGTCACCAATTTGCATAGGGTCCAGAAGATCCCTAAACACCCTTTCCCTCTGAAGTGCATGATCATGAGCTAAAGCAATCATTAGTTCTATCTTCATAGCTTCACTCTCACTAGTGACACTTGAAGCATGTCTGGCAGCTGTGTGTGTTTGGATGCAGGTTGTATAGTAGAGAAAATGGAGTTACATGACCTTATTTCCACCTTGCGGAAACTTACGAGGACTCGGGGACTAGAGTAACTTTTGTTGTACAATACAATAAGTTCGTTAATGGGTGTCGTAAACTGTTAGTGAATCACCCTTTCAGGCTTAAGGTTGATCAGAGGGACTTAATGTGACCGTAAGTAGTTAGTGAATCTGGCCCCAGGTCTGCAAGATAGTAAACATATCAGCCTAGCTAAGAAGGGTGATAACTACAGAAGGAAAGCACTTTCCTTAATATATCGTCCCTATATCTTTTAATACTTGTACAGTACTTCTGATCAGTCAGATACTAAGATGTGTCCTAACCTACAGTATTTATACAATATCATACACTACACGAAAATCTAGGCATGACTTTCAATGTAGTGCATTTTTGTACACATCAGTATGATAACAGGTTTACATAATATTTTCTGATTATTATATCACAAAATATTTCAAATGGCAACCTTTTTTAATCATGGATATTCAGTAAAAGACATATCTGCTATCATCCATACTTGGCCTGAGTACATGAAGTCCACCATAGCTTTCAGTTCGGGATATCGAATCTCCATGGGCAACAGCACAATAGGGTGTTTCGATGGATTGTCCTGGAATTCAGAGAAATTTGTAAATATAGTACATACATATTCCTAAGATCAGACTGAAAATCAAAATTTCTTAATTTCCTAGACAGTGAACAAATCTCAGTACACCAACAGGAAAACACTGACACTCAATGTTCTGCTTTTATTTTGTAATGTCAAATTTAATTAATATTTAACAAATTTATAGGGAAACATCAGTACAGGTAATTTCCATACTAAAATAGCCCAAATTGTCTCCAATATTTCAATAAAGTATTCACAATTTAATCTACGATAGATAGATATTGAGCACTGAAAAAACAATATGTACAGCACACTGCATTATCATGATATCTTTGCTATTTAAACTTTACAATATTATATTGCATTGTACATGATAGTATACTAATCAAAAAGTAATTTGCCAACATCTTTGGTACCATTTAATGGAATAACACAAAGTATAATAAATTAAGATTAAAATCACAGACTAATTCTGTAATTATGGGGGATAAAATAACAAAAGATAAACTTACAGATTTATGGATAATACAGTATTATGCCTCATGGTTTATTTGGTACTCACAGATGGGGACTGACCCAACCAGGGTGGACTAAAAAGTTTTTTGGGGGGAAGTTCCAGAGTTAGATTGCACGCAGGGTTGTTTGTGTTTTTATCGACTACACTGTAAAACTAACCTAACCTCCTTGAGTCAGAAGTAACCTAACATGAATCAAGGAAAGGGAGGGACACTAACTTGTGCATTGTGTGTGAACCAGGTGACCCGGCTCAATAGCCCTCGAGCTATTTTACAGTTTGACCCAGCTCAACGACCACTTCCTTTACTATACCAATCAGTCTTTAAATATTGTACAGTACTGAAGTTAATTCTATAAACAGGGGAAGTCATTATGATGAGCATGAATAAATTTTCTAATACAGGGTACATTACCATAATAACAATACATACCCTTAAGAAGTCTCTGAAATAAGACGAACATGCTGCCAGAACAAGCTGATGGGCCCGAACTTTGTTGCCATCACCACAAACAACTGTTACATCAACCAGGTCACCTTCCCGCCGCAGTCCACTTAGTGTGTTCACTAGAGACCCATGGTAGTTGTTCCAAAGAATGCAGTATTGACTTCCATCCATCTTGCATTACATATACCGTACCTGTAAAACAGTTTCACAGAGCTTAATATTATTGACACTGCCATACATGTAATAAAGCCACTGACTAAAATAGTGATGTGTTCAATCCATGCATCATATACTGTGGAGGTGAAAGTAAGCATATGTAACAGCCCATTGGGGGCAGTGAGGATACAACACATGGTAGACTAAACCTTTTTCAGTACATAATAAGGCAATGTGGACGGCACTACACTAGACTACTTTCACTTCCCAAATGTAACGTTAGGTACCCATTCTCACCTGAGTGGACTGGATATGCCCCTGGCCTGAATTAATATAAACACTGCACACTATATACTCTATCCACTTAGCTGCCAACCCAGTATTACTGTGCATACTGTACTGGGATGATGATAATTACTGTACAGTGCTGCATCAGCATCAACAGACATTTGACATTAAGTACTAAATGTTTTACAACTACGTACAGTAATTTTGATAACTGGTTGATGAAATACTCTTCTAATATTGATAGAGAACGCTACACACATGTTATTCGGATCATTGTGAGAAAGAGAATCTTGCTAATAAACAAGTAGAATTTATAGAGATTAGTGTTGCATGTACACACAGTAAAAGAAGTACCGCACGGATTATGTGCAAAACAATATGCCATCACGGAGGAGGGGAAGTGGAATATTCATGTTTGTCCTGTATTGTGGTGGTAGTCCTGCCTTCCTTGCCTGAGGGTGTCCTCACATATCTGCTGCTAACGACATATCCTGCCGTATATATAGATGATGGTATAACTGAATATGAACACATTGGGTGGTGTATGGATCATTACGGAAGTCAGCAGATCCCTCTTTATACTTTATTTTCTATGTGTGTATACCTGCAATACTTTAGATCAGTGGTCCCCCAACCTGTAGTTCGCAGGTGTCGGAACCATATCATGGAACCCGCAAAGGTCTACAGTAAACCCTTCATAACTAGGCATTTGATAACTCGGAATTTCAAATCACTCAGCATGGATATGGTCTTCTAATGTATTATAGTATAACTCGGAAAATGCAGAGAAATAAAATATCTGAGAAAATCTTGGCATATCTGGCCACCTGCATCACCTACCATACCTCTGTGTCACCTACTATGAAGCTTCATTCTTCGCCTGCAGTGCTGGGAAGTGTACTATTTTACATTTAGTAATTACATGTACACATATATGGGGAGATAATTTTTTATTGTTGTATTTTTGTAGGAGGGGGGAAAGTGCCTCGATAAGTCGGAACTTGGGATAACTCAGCAAGGCCAGAGCCCCATATGTGGAGTTATCGAGGGTTTACTGTATTAGAAAATTGTGAATTATGTGGGATTCTTTGTAAGAGTGAAATTAATGAAAATATATACTAACTTGATACAATTGTCGTGTACAGGAAGTGTGTATTTACCCCAAACCGGGCCCAGAGAGAGAGAGCCAACCTTATCACTGGGGTAAATACACATATCCAATCCAAGAGTAAATGTAAAAAGTATGTAACTGGTAACAGTTAGATGTGTAAAACTGTAAATAACTGTACAGTATATATGAGATTTTTGTTTCTTGACTGTAGATCCAAAGTTTTGGTGCCCTCCGCTATATTTACAATGATCAATGTGGCCCAGAGTCTACAAAAGATTGAGGACCACTGCTTTAGACAACCAACTCATGAGAAGGAGTTTAACTAATAGTTGAACATAATACATGGGAAGTTGAAAATCCTACCTACTTATTATTTTCGGGGATACTAAAACAAATGGTAATATGAGAACAGCACTACTAACAGAAGGAGTTGTTCAATCTCATTCATTTTTTCCACAGATGTTCTTATCATTACAGTAAATATTTCAAGAGGCGGCATTTACTAAAACAAAATAGAACCTGACCTAACCAACCAAAGAAACATACCTAACTTTCTGTCTGCCTCTTCCCCCAAGACCCCCTGCCATATTCAACAGAAAGTACTTATTTACATAATAAGTATCTGGCAACAAGGAAAGCAACTTTGTTGAAGCGTCATGGTGTAATCTTACATATTTTGTGGACATGAACGTACACTCAGACCAGTCACAGAGCGAGTCGCCTGTAAACGGAGAAGACAACAACATGTGCTGACTCGGCAGAATTTTCGAAGGAATATTTAGGCTACATAATTTTCTCCACGTACAAAGCACATAAGCATCATTTTAGTGCTATATGATCAGTTTTTTGTTGTGTTTTACCCGGCAATTTCCCCCATCCTTCATGCCCTGCCCAGTACAGGTGATTTAAGATTGTTGATTGAGAGAAAAAAGTAAACATTTGTTAAATAACTGTAGCTCCTTTTTGTTATGAGAAAAGTTTGTTCTTTTTATATTTAGGTGTTTTATTGAAATCTGACCTTCTAACAACAACAAATAAAACAGAAAGTTGTAGCCTCTTTTAAAATACTGACTAGAATAATATGTGAAAAAAAAATTAAAGAAATCAAATAACTTCTGGTGGTAGAGCTGTTCTCAAAAATTACCAAACAGAATTGTATCCATCTTTCCTTACTCTCCCACCAAACACATCAACATATTCCTGCTAAAAACTAATCTAAAATGTAAACCAACACAACCACAGCTCAGAATATTGTTCTGGGTCAATTACTAGGCCACATTTCTTCTTTACATGGGTACATTTCGTGTACGTAATTGGATTCTACCTAACCTAACCTAACCTGAACGGTAAAGATCGGTCACAGCACTGCTTCTCAACTAGAAATCTTATAATTCACTGGATGACCGAAACGATAATAATACCAGGATATTTTCTGGTTATATTTCGTCCAAAGTAAACATGAACTTAATGCGATAATACGGTAGGTCATTTGATTCCAGAGTCGAGTGGTGGATTAAAAGTTTTGTCCAGTGTTAAGCAATATGCTATTTCCCTCCCAAACAATTATCTTTGGATATCTAAAAGGAAAAAAATATTTGAGTCTGAATATTTGAAAAGCGGCGGGAAATATGCACACCAAAACGTCATCACTCCCAAGTTACACATACCACTTATAAAACCAAACACAGCTGCGATGATAATATATCGTTAGTAACTAAAATCAATGGTAACCAGCGATAATTATTATTATCATACTATAATTATGTCAAGTGTTCGTTTCCGTGAATGGACTAGTGGCATCGTTTTAAGAAAAGCTTTTACTCAGCAGTGATAGAGACGCCATTTTACGTTGGCAGTTAGTGTCGCTACGTGTCGTACATATATCACATTACACAGCATTTACATACACAAGGAGGGAATGTATTATATCTGACCAAAGTAATAATACAAAAGAAAACAGTGGTGGTCGTGTATATCCTTTGAATCGTACTTACGGACCTTGTGAAGGGACAGAGGATTGGATCCACTTGGTAGCGAGTCACATATTCTTGGAACATAACATAAGGATCTATGATATAAATTAATCGATATTTTTGTTTTAAATTTTCATGTTTTTATATGTAAATAATATAAGACCAAATAATCATAAACAAAAAACTCTGTAAATAACATAAATATTATCTCAAGCATGCAAAAAAGTTATATATATATTTTTAAAAGCATGAAACTTGTTCTTGTTGTGTTAAAGCCCCCCAAAAGAAATCACATTAAAGATTCAATAACAACTACTATCTGCATTTGTATATTTCAATAATGTGTATGTAGTATGGACAAATGACACATTTTGCCCGAGTAGATCCAAATTATGCATTTAGTATGTAATATTTTCCTCTTGTAGGTGGAAATCGGCCCGCGTACTGTGGTCACTGACATGCAGTACTTTACCATGAATTTAATTGAGAATCTCATATTCATAACAAAACGTGCTCCTCAATTTTCAGACTACAATTTACTTATTTTTACCCCTTTAACTCTTGCATTTCATATTTTAATATTTTTTTTCCAAAATTTGTAGGTGCTATATTTTCTTCTTTGGTAATCTCGAGTCCCTACTTATCTTTCTCAAAACATTTCTAAACCTAAGTGATCCTTTACTTCAGTACTTATACCAACCACCTACATTTCCATAATTGAATTTTCTTTCACCTATTGCACGTCTTAAACAAATAATTTTTTTACATGCTTTTTAATTTTATTTTGCAAATTGAAACAAATTACAGAATATATTCAGTAAAATCGCCATTTAAGTTCACATCGGTTCAGCATGTACTGTAAAATTACAGTCAGGGGCTAAATTTCGAGTTCGCCGCGAGGCAGTAGTGATGAAAAAAAATATTGTACTTGCACTTGTCCCTGGCGGTGAAGTCATGCAACGGAGAGGAGACTATTGGACGCCCCGACACTAGCGTCATCTATTGGACAAGCCAGATATCTATAGCATGCTTGAGAAAACTTGTTTTATCGGTAACTTTAATATTTTACCCTGCTTTGACTTTCTCTACCATCGGTAATCATTGGATTACTTATTTTGTATATTTATCTTTTTACCACTTCACAGCTTATTAGCCATTCGGGCACTCTGTTCTTTGTTAGTTTTGTTATGAGCTTCGTTGTCCAATGTTAGTACAGTAGGAAACTGTATAGTACAGCGGTACTGTACCTGGTTGAAACCTTTGATGTTTGGTAGAGTCACACTGGATAACATCCGTCTCGTGTGTGTCCAGTCCAAGTAGGACTCGAACCAATTGTATAGTAGTGACAGATACATGCATTACCACTGTGCCACCAACACCCTTCAAATTATTTATGATTACAATCCTCACACAAAGAAGGTATATTAAAAAAGTGTAAATAAAGTTTTTATTTAACTGTACAAAAACAAATAATACAACAACAAAAAGGCATTATCAGGAAGTTTAATTAGTAGGGATAGGGTGACCACTTGCAAGAGGTGGCAACCTTTGGCCTGCTGCAGCCCAATTACTTTTGCCTTTATCCTCTTCGCCACTGATCGGCTTGTTAGCCGGTAAGGCGGTCGGTCACGTCTCTGTTATGCACTGTTGGCAAATACTGGGCCTGCACTGACTCCTGAATGTATCTGAACCTGCTCCAGTGTTGGTCAAGTCTGGTCATGAAAGGGCTCGCATTTGGTGCTGCCACGAAACTCCCTAGCAGGTTTTTCCACGAGTTCACAATTATCACTCCGAAAAAGTTTGCCCACACAGTTTTTCTGGACTTGTGTCTTCGTCAACCTTGAGCTGTGACCCCTTGTGGGGCGAGCGTCCTCCAGCTCCAGGTATGGACACTGAACTGAGTAGTGCCCTTTGAGATGTTTATACACCTCACTTAGGTCACCCCTTGCCTGTCTGTAGTATAAGTTAGGCAATTGCAGGCGCTCTAATTTCTCTGAATAACTGAGGTGCCGAAATGCAGTCATCAGTCTGGTAGCCCTCTTTTGGACATTTTCAATCAGGACATTTTCAATCAGGACATTTTCAATCAACTGACAGTTCCTAGCATATTGTGCATCATCATCAAAAAGTTGTATACACTCCAAGGTGCAAAAAATGATGATGGTGAACGAAGTAGACACATCAAACAAAACAATTATGTACATTGATGGGGAATTGGCAACCACATTTGACATACGTGACAGCAGCCCTCTCCTGCCTAGACACATACTGTACCTATGTCAAGTGTAGCTGTATGTACTAACAACTTACCTTTTCCTGTCTTTTGGGAAGAAAGTAAAGCTTAGCTCTCCATTATTTCCTTTGTTTTTCCCACAAACAATACAACGGTGGGCGGCGTTTGGAATCATGTTTATATCTACCGCCACTCATTCCTAGCCAACGCAACGCTGATAGCAAAATATGTAAATAGACAGCCGACACATCAGCAATTCAGTGTCATCTCTAGGACAAGCATCTAACTAATAGGGGTTGAATTACTGAGGCTGATGAACTGCCAGACAAAAGAAGAAGTTTTGTGTGTGTGTGTGTGTGTAATTGGCAGCGGGGTGATATCACATGTCACTTAGCATATCACCTGGGACGAAGACTGAGCCTAGTGAGGAGGGATATGCGCAGTACTACTATGACAAGAACGAGTATAAGATTCGAGATTGAACTATTGCATGAAGAAACCCGAGTTTCTCTTCTGGGTATATTTATGTACGCCACACCGCCGTGTCGCTCCTTCCTGCAATGGGTTGGATGTGAAGTTACTAAAGTATATTAATACAAATGTATTCTTAAAAGTAAGAGTTGTCGTGTATCATCATGCCCATAATATTTAAAGTCTGTTCGTGGTTTAAAGGACAAAGATCTGTAAGTTTAAAATTATAATTTGTATACATTTTAACATGACTGTAGACTGATTTCACCATTTAAACATGTTTCTTTTCAGACAAGTTTTATTGTAAATAAAAAAAGCACAATTGGTTTAAATGTCGTTTAAATTTCACAGAAAGGTAATCCTCAACATGCTGGTTAAGAATGTAGGTTCTAATATTTAAAATTCAAGTAATTAGCATTAATTAATGACAATATAATTACAACTAATTTCGTCAGTGAGGATTGGTAGGCATTGGCCTGACTAATACAGCCAAAAATATGATGTAGCTGATAGAAAGTTAATTGTGAAAAGTGAAACACTTAGAATGATTAAAAGGTAACTTTATATATATATATATATATATATATATATATATATATATATATATATATATATATATATATATATATATATATATATATATATATATATATTTGCACTTTTGTGAAGCCAATCACAGAAATCAGTTCCATTGTTTATACTGACCTCATGTACTGAGCCTGTTTAGAATAGAACACACTTTAAAACTTCACATCCAAACAATATCACAAATTATCATACATTATTATATTGTATACAGCTCATACATTCACAAGTATTTAGAACATAAGTTTCCTGCAAAAAAGAGGTGGATACTTATAAGTTATAACTATCCAGAATATGCATAGATCAGAATACATACAGTACTTTACTGTTCTTAATCTTTCATAGCTAAAGACACACATCATTAAATAATGGTAATTATTAAGTTAATTATAAATGTATACTAATTCACTTGTGTAGGTTACTTATTAAGGTTAAATTAGATTAGGATAATGTTATGGATAGGTAGGTATGGATTAGGTAGGTTAAATTTGGTCAGCTATGTGCAGAACTCAGTGTTTCTTGTTGTTTTTTATAGCAAAAAACTTTATACTGTACTCTGCTTTACATCTCATATGTAACAATAAAACATTACCCAAGTCTGGTGTATAATAGCTCTCACCTCATCTGGTGTGCGGTAATCCATCCTCTCTCAGCTCTTCCTTATATATATACGTCTTTGTTGAGAGAATATTGTAAAAACTGTGAATTTTCTTTTTAAAATGAAAAAAACAGTGTAGGTCGAGTTCAGGCAGACATTATTAAATCTGTACACTGAAGCATTTTGTTAAACTAATACTTTATATATTTGAAATGGGTTAATTTGAACTGAAGGGGGATTTATGATAGGAAAAGTCCGTACAATTTTCTTCATACATACATACAGTATATATTCACAGGAACATAAATACACATACAGTACACATTTTGCTTGGGAATTCTGTACATCTCAGTATATTTAGTATTAAGAGGGTACAGTACTGTATTGTGTTCTGTCTAATAAACTGTAACTTCCTTCTGCAATGCTGTTACAGCTTTTAAGATTCATGTTTTTTTACTGCTTTAACGGGGAAAGGATGTCAGTGGCTTGTTTAATACCCCCCATTGTTTCTCATAAGTTTGTCTTTAATTATGTCAGTACAATATTGAACAGCAATAAAAAGTTGCATTACACCCACCTAGAGTATGTTCCAAAACCCATGATGAATGATATGGGTCAAGCTCCCCTTCAGTAACAGTAAAGCTTTGAGGTTCGAATCTGATACACCAAAATTAGTCTCCTTGTTTACCAATAGATGGTGTGCTGTACATGCTAGTGTACATTTGTACCGTTTCTCAATGTTGGGAGAGTCACTTGGCAATGCAAGCAGGTGTGACTATAGAATAATATGCTAATGAGCGATTATATATATTCCTCAAAGTGTGATTCTTAATAATCTGTAAATTATTTGTCATTCATCGTTTACTAGAGTTCACCGACGTGACATCACTAGAGGCTATCTATAGTCACTGGCCGGGGGTGCCTTACCAGCTCACAATATTATAAATGCTTATATACTCGTATATATTTATTACTGTACATTTTATAATCAATAATTAAGATTCATATTCATAAATGGTTTATTTACAGTAACACATGAATTTCCAATGTTAGATTCATTTGAAATTCCCATTTAATATATATGCCAAAAGAAACTTATGAAATGTTCATTTGAAAGTTTAAAATAATGAAGAATACTTTTGAAGTAAAGAGATGTCGTTTTCACAGTAGGGAACATGTGTGCCTCATGGCCTGCAAGACCCACCTGACATAATATACTGAAGTAATGCTTTATTAACACCCAGACACTTTTTCAGTACAAGTTACCACCAACATGTATATGTATATGTGTCAACATAATTTCATAATTATCAAACTGTTTTTGTAAACTTCTGTAAACCAATGAACTTTCACATTTCTCCTTTAAATATTATACCTGTACAGTACAGGTAAATTAATTATTATAAAAAATAATTAACTAGCCAAATTTCTCCATCGATTCATAAATGACACGAGATAACAGCATTAAAATTCTTGGACCAAATATTTCCATCGCCTTCTAGGAGCAATAAATGTTTTCACCAAAGTTAAATGGCAAACCAAGCTTCCTTGTTGACATCTTGTGGCAAGATCAAACATTTTAATAAGTTTATCGAAGCTAAATCAATATCTTCTGTAGCCTCCTGATGCCAAGCAGACGTCCTCATCTACCTTCCATGGCCTTTTAGAATTCGTCATCGTCAGGTAGCCCAATTATCTGATTCTGCGTGAAATCAGCAGGAGGCAAGTCTTCATCTCCATCATCACCAACAGCTGTGAATGGATTCGGCTTGGACATCACCTGAAAAATGAGTACATATACTTAATCCCAAAGTACAATCCGGGTTTAATATTACTGAGTTAAGACTTACCCCAGTGTGCTCAGAAATTTAAATAAGTTTTAAATTTATTGTTGAAATCAATATTTATGTCTCACAAGGCATGGTCAATGCATTCCAGTGTTTTTCTTAAATAATAATCTTTGCAGTTGACACTCTCTTCCATGTGTAGTGGCGGCAGTGTGAAGAAGCTTCCTGGTTTATGATAATCATGAATTACACAAAATTCATTGTAAGTTTTATTTTTAAAACCTTATCACTTATATTGGTATTCTTCCTTTTAAGAAGAATCTATATACAGATACAGTATATATTATTATACTGAATTGATATTATATTTGTACAGTATATCCATTTTTACTATTACATTTAGGAATCTTTTCCACCAATCAGCTCCTTTGGTACAAGACTACTCTGGATTCATTCATAAGTTTACTCTAGTAATGAGACTCTGCCACATGTACACAAACATCACCCAGGGGGTAAAGGAACTCTTTGAGGTAACTGTATAATTGTAAGTACTGTACTGTGAGAAATGTCCTGAAATATCAGCTGAATTTACTTTTTTTTCTCAAGTGTAAAGAAAATCACACATATTATAGCACTGAAATTAATTATACGAATATGTACAGAAAATCAAACACACGGGAAAACTTTAGTACACACAAAAACATAAAACACACAAAAAAAAGTACTTAAAACAACACAGGTGAAAATATATTTATTAAAACATACATGTGATCGATCACACAGACACATTATTTACACACACAAGATCATACTCACACACACACTACCTGTAAGGGTGATCTAGTCCGCTGGTGGCTGGGTGGACTGAACACGGCGGGAGAGCTGTTGTTGGTAGTGACCTTCGTGAACCCCGATCCAGGTTGACCTCCCCCGACTCCTGAGGATGCCGTGCCTGTCACACTAACCTTGTGCACCGAGCAGAAGTGACCATGACCTATGATACCATAATTATAAACTCATTAGTAATACCATAAACATGTAATTTACAATGAAAAGTTGGGGAGAGTTATATGAGCATTGACAGTATACTGTATTATGTATTCTCTATACCTGCACTTGTTTCTGTACCTGTGTTCATGTTTCTGGATCAACAAAATGATACGATGACACGTTCCAAATCAATACGAACCAAATTGGTTAATGAGCTGACTATTATAAATGTCTATGTTTTGGTCCAAGGTGTGTTTGCTATGTACAGGACATGTAAACTAACAAATCAGCAGCATATTGGCAGTGACAATTTTTTTAATGTGTGTCTCCTATTGTGTCTTCTTTAATATTCAAATTAAAATCATATTACATAAATCATGGTGATTTTCTACTCAAATTTTCCGAATATTTTATCATCCATCAGTACAGTATAAAATTTAGTCAACGACTTATGTTAATTTATCTCCTTTGTGAGAAGTTAACCAATAGCAGTACTGTAGTTTCAACATCAATTTTCCCATCTGCTGGTTGGAGTAGATAAAGAACGTCCATTAGATGCATTTTCATGTTTTCAGTTGGAGGAAAATAATATTGCTTGAACCTTGGAGATTTCTGGCACTAAATATCAAAACTAAACAAGCAATGAACTTAATATCAAAGGATTTTCTCCTGCCCGGACCAACCTTCTATAATGGTGATCCTGAGGTGAGCTGCCGTGATTTGCTCCGATGACAACACAGAACTCTGCAGCTTCCCTTCATCGTGAGGCAGCTCTGGAAACACATATTGTACCTTAGATAAAGCAAATTTGGTTCCAGCTTTACTCCATAACCCTTTATTCCTTTATACCATGATACAGTACTTGGCACTCAGGCTAAAACTGCGCACTTATGAGTAGAAACATTTAATAAAATCTGCACTACAGTATTGTATGCCTGTTCACCCTGTTCACCTTTTAATATGCTGTATTGTATATCCCAAAGCTCATTTTCATTCGGTGGCCATGACAAGAACTAAAATACAAACAGTTGTAATTATATAGAACAGTATTGCTTTGCCATATTCAGTTAAACTGTTCATTTTGATATTATTTTGTTATAATCTACACATAATCCTCGTATGTTAATGGAATAATGATAATAGATATCAGCTCAGGTTTATACTAAATAAGACATAAAAGAATCTGCATAAATAATGGATTTCCTCCATTCCATGTATTGTATACTTACTGTACAGTATATAAAAGTGGTCCTAATGCTGTCCCACAGAAGTACACCAACTTTCCGAGAATACATTGAATTTTTTGTCCTATTAATTATCATAGGACAGCTATAGACAGTACAGTATAGTACACACAAACTTGATGACATATGGCATAAGACGTCCATCAGGATAACTTGAGGACTTTTCAGGCAGATGAAGGACTGGCGTAGACAAAGTCTAGTCCCCTCCATTTACCTTACAATGAATTGGTAAATCCCTTAACATATCACCAAAAACAAGACAGAGCTGTTCATGCTGAGGAGATGACTTTGTTGAGGATTGCAGACAAGAAATTTTACAACACAGGAAGTATACACGAGGACCTGTGTTTACCCAAGAAGAAACATGCAAGTGTTTTATTCTTAATCTAAGGAACATTTTCCAGGGGCGTCAGTGAAATAGACACTAGTTTTTAAGAAGGTGGAATCATTATAGACTTACAGGTGGACAGATAAAATACAGCGGATGGAGTATCATAGCAACTGTCCTTTCATTTGGACTAAAAAATAAATCAACTAAAATACCTCTTTCCGTAACCTCTTCAAAATCAGTGGGCTGCGTCTTGATGCTCCTGGCCACCGACACTCTCCGTACTGAGGGAAAGTAAATACCTGTACTGTATAAGAAACTATGTTATCACAGCCGGGGATGGAAGACATGTTTGCAATTACAACATTATGCAAGACAAGTACAAACTTTCTCCATATAAACATTTGAAATTTATGAAACCAAATGTAAATAATAAAATTTCTATAAGAAGTGCAGAGTATCTTTAAACAATCAAAATAACATTTCAGTACTGCACTGTACTTGTGTCACGTCTGTGAACCAGATGACTAAAGTCTTGTGTACATAGCTGGTGATTCAAATGGTAAAGTGGATGTACAGTATTAAAGTGCGTGCAAGGGTGAGAAAAAAAACATAAATAGAAAGTGGCTGAAATATGCTCTTGCTGCTGTAATGGACGTGATTTATTAAAAAAAGGGAGCCATCAGCATAAGAAACAAAAATACAGAACAAAATAATTTGCCAGTAGCCAAGTGTCGCTTTTGACCATCAGCTGTTGTCAATTGTTTTATAACTGTGTAGCAACTGAGTTTCCATACATGAACACTAAATTGATTCCCAAACCTGAAGAAGAAAATAAGAGAAGAATATTAATTTCCCTATAGTGAACGGCCTATGCAGCCCATGAAAAAACTTCTGTACCTAGGGGGTCGATGAATTTCAGAATGAACACTACGACTCTTATTGTCTCGGTAGGGTTGTCAAAATCCTTCGTCCATTGTGTCATATTGTCTAACACAATTTTATAAGGATAGTTTTTTCATCGACTGTACAGTAGTCGAACAAATACTGTACATTCTCTTAGTGAACGTACAGTGATGTTGGATATGATATACAGCGATTATGGTCACAGGGAGAGTAAGAGTTTACCATTGTAAGCGAGGATGGTGAGAGCGTCAACCGAGGTGATGCCCGGCAGCGTCACTACCACCATCTGAGGGTAAAGGCCGCTCGTCGCCCAGAACGTGTCCGGCCTCCTGTAGGATCATCTCACAGTAAGACCGGGGAATAAGATCGAGGAAGTAGGCGAGGGATGGACAGGTTAGGTGACAGTTGAGGCACAAAGTACACAGACTGAGTTTGGGCAAGAAAGATGGACGAGATAAATAGGCAAGACTGGGCGAGATGAAGTTAGAAATATTACAGTGTAAAGCAGGAAGGCGGTAAGCGAATATGAAGGGTCAGAGTAAGTGATTAGCAAATACCTTCTTATGCTGTATATAGCTAATACTACCCATCAAGAGCCTAGTGAGTGTAAAGTAAAAATTATATTATACATGGACAAAAAGATGACATAACTAAGTCTCCCTCTTGAGTGTATCGGCTAATTAAACACATCTTAACCCTAACCAACAAGACACTAGAGGAATTAAACACACTTTTCTAGTGTTTGGAGTAAGCATTCAAGCAAAAAATACTTTCATCTCCACAGCTAATAAATACGAAAATAATTAACATATACTGTACTGTACCATATTAAAGCCAATACAGTTAACGTATCAAACAGTTCTAAATTGTAATTGAAGCTAAAAACGTGAGAAGAAGGGTCTTGATTTTTAGGACTCATTTGTGATAGTTGTACATAATGTGGAAAAGACCCACTAGTCTCTATTAGTTTAGGTGTTGTGTATTGTTTGTCATATTTGTAGTCACGAATATATCATCCATTTTGTTGGTCTACTGTTCTTGCATTAGACACTGCAACCCCACACCAGGCTCCTAGTGGACATAAGATTTTTTATGTCATACTTCGTGTCTCCTTGGTTGAATCAACTTACTGTACTGTGTGCGATTGTTTGCATACTTGCACTGTCAATGTACTTGTTGAGCTAACGTGAATTTGTATAATGATTTAACTGAATACTCTATCTACCTATCCAACTTTGACTTTACTACAACATTCCAGTTACCAGTGACACTTTCGAAGATGGACTAACCCAATTACTGTAATTTCTTATGAGCTACCAGGAGTTACTAATGATTATTATTCTGGTGATTCTACCTGACAATATAATAACGAGGTATACGGAGGTGGCACTGACCCGTCGAGCATGGCGGAGGGTGGGAAGGTAGGGTCTTGGCTGCTGGCATAGATAACTTTGGCGTCCACCATGTTTATTTCGTCTATACTGTGCCCCGAGGAGCACCCACAGTACCTGGTGGAACACTACACTCGAGTTACTGGTATACAATATAATCCTCATGATCTCTGGTGTAGGCAGGGATGTAGAGTTATCCTTCTTAGCACCATAAAACTGAATCTGGACTCCTCATATATTATTCACAAAACAGATAGGATTGAATTCCACTGTGTGTGTGATATTTGACTTTAGGTTATAATTCGTATGGCTGTTGGTTCCAGAGTCTGTTCAAATGATTACTAAGTGTTGGTCTTAATCAAACTCATCACAATCATTTTTTTCCTTCTTGTGTGTTTTTTGTAGCTACAGTATTAATGGTGTCCAGGGATTATCTGGGCCTGGCTAAACATAAAAATACCTAGATTAGATTAAGGAAGATTGCAATATCATTTCTTTAGATCGATTGAACATGGCTCTGTATGTGGAATAGTCATGGAACCTATAGACTACGTACATATACTCAAAGGATCACAGAGACTGACAAAATCTTGAATCCTGGTTGTGAAACACTCGTTCCCAGCATCAACAGCAACACATGAGCCAACATGTACCTGGAGTGTCTGGCACGGTAGGAGGTGGCAGTGTGGGTACGGGAGGACGACCTAATGAGCCTTTTGAAGCACGAAACGCTGTGCCTGAGTCGCTCCTCTAGCCGTGGTGAGATGGGCAGTGGTGTTCCCCGGCTTGGTGACTCTGGGGACTCCGGTAGACCTGAGCTGTTGTCCCCGCCACTGCTGCTGCTGAGGGAAGTAGCTGTGGACAGTGCCAACAGTGTCATTCTATGAATCACTTATGCCATCACGAGACGGGTTTTCCCGTCAGTATAAAACAGAGCTTCTTGTATCTCAGGAAAAATCACACATATCCTTTTTATTTTGTGTAAAGTTTCCTAATGTAATAAGAATATTTAATGAAATATCTTGTCTACTAACACTACTGAACATTGAAATATCTCACAGGGCCACTACCCATCTCAGCTGGAAGTGTTTGCATCTAGTCTCAGAACAAGTTAGGTAGACTTTATTTGTATGGAAGAAGCATCACAAAATATCATAGTTATACATTCGATATTATGAGGAAAAGTCACTAAACAATTAATAGAGTTCTCATCTCCAAATCCTCTACATGATACAGGAAGGTAAATGATAGGACCTTCTAAAGATGCTAATTTGACATGACAACTTGTGTTCCTGTACTGGAGAATTACCATAATGAAGTAAGACTTGTTAGTTATCCAGTGGTTACTCATTGGCTCTGATGTTTGGACTTTTGCTCCAATTTTCACGAACAGTTTTGGAATAAAGACATTTTTAAAAGAGTTTACTTTGCTTTTGATATATTTAATCTACAAAATAACAATGGAACATAATAATCCTCCAATAAATACATACAAGAAATCCTGAAAAACTACTGATGTAAATTATGATATGGTGATGAAATAAAAATTCATAAAAATAACATGTAAGATATTAGTATATTAGATTTATGTAAAATATAGGTAAGATATAAGTAAATTAAAAGATGTAAGTAAGAGAAAAGTGTGAAGAAGATAACGCGAGAGGTGATTAACAGTGGCTACAGCACCTGAAAGTGTGGTAACAATAGAATCCTCTCTCTGGAGGTGTCTGTTCTCTTCTTCTCTCTCTTCCTCCTCTTCTTCTTCCTCTGGTGGAGTCCCGAGGTAAGTAAGGCGGCTAACGGGGCGGGAGGATGAGCCTAGACGACTGGTGGGGCGGGAGGATGAGCCGAGACAATTGGTGGAGCGGGAGGATGAGCCTAGACGACTGGTGGAGCGGGAGGCCGAGCTCCCGTGGAATTGGAAGCTGGTCCTGCATGAGGGTGAAGGAAGGAGTTAATTCATGCACACCCGAGACCCTACCAAACATCAAAGCTCCCCTGGACTCTGGATGAACCAACCACCTGAACGGCTAGTAAACCTATATATAAATAAAGTGGTGGCAGCTGAAACATAAGTCACACACACCTCAAGGTTCACCCAACTAAGAAACTCAAATTTCAATAACTTATGGCTGGTTATGGAAAATGTAGGTTATGGTTGACTGATCGATGAACTCTTTCAATACTTGTACTGATAATCCTAAATTAATGTACTGCTATTAATATAAAACAGAATAGCAGAAGATGACAGACGTAGATAAACCAAAGACGAATAATCTCACAAAAATTAACACTCGCATAGACATATAAATGAGAGACATACAAACAGATACCGAGTAACTTGAGAGAGTGAGAGAGAGAGAGAGAGAGAGAGAGAGAGAGAGAGAGAGTACCTAGGGGTGACAATAGGCGTGCCTGGCCGGGGTGTGTGCGGCACGTGGGTCACAGGTCCTGCTGACGGTGGATCCAGGGGGCGGGCTGCTGTGGTCACCCCTGGGAAGGCGGGGTCAACAACATGTAGCACGCGAGGTCAACCCACAGAAGGCGGGGTCAACAACATGTAGCACGCGAGGTCAACCCACAGAACGCGGGGTCAACAACATGTAGCACGCGAGATCAACCCACAGAAGGCGGGGTCAACAACATGTAACAGATAGGGGGTCAACACCTCGGTTATTCCTGCCGTAGCTGTGGAGAGTCATCTGTATGTATCTACCCCTTGAATATGTACACAATAACTTATATGTATCCACTTTATAAACATTGGTCACGTACACACACTGAATAACTACGTAACCTCACGCTAGTAAGACAAACAAACAAAAGTTAATATTTCTTCATAAAGTGACATAAGTAATTTCCCAATAACTATTATCTTGCCTGTAATTTTGGTTCCGTCCAGGTGTGGGTTAAGTGAAACAGGTAACTGGCTGTCTTACAAGGCAAACCGTATCAGTTGTGAAGATCAGCTTGTTTTGTTATTATAAGCCACCAAGTGTGTCCCTACTATCACCAGATTCGTTACTGTGGTCCAAGCCCATTCGGAAGTCCATGTAACGCGTTCAGCTGAGGTCATAGGTCATCAACAATGCTGTAAATAAAATCACAATAAATTACTACCTGGCAAAATGGAAGCAGCAAAATAAGGTAGGAATGTGTCCTCCATTTACACTACAAGTCGATTGTTCCAGTTTTCTACAGCAACTCGATCCTAAATATCGCTCAACTTTTTTTTTAATTACTTTCACTAATTAATGTCAACACAAACAAACAAAAACAATTTCTACGTACAGTATTAATTTATTTGTCAAATTGGTGTGGTAGAGCGGCAACATGCATATCTCTAACCAATTTATCAATGGTTCGAACCTCGGGCCAGAGACACATAAGAAGGGTGTTGTTTGTACGGTGTGATCCTGGCAAAGATCACAGGTTGTATTGAGGTCGTCGGCGGCGGCACAGAGGCACCCCCACCCCCTCCCGGCAGCTAACAAGTGAAGTAATACGTGGTTGTTAACTCCTCTTTATGCATTAGTAACGAATTACCCTTTATAAGTGGAAAATGGTCGTGTAACGTAATGTCTCTAAATCTTTTAAAATTAGGTGGAGAAATGTCAATAAGCAATTACTGTATATTGAGAAAAAACTACAAAAGTATCATTTAGATAACTTTTGATCATCATGATTATCAATCAAAAATATAAGAAAAGAGAGTCAGGTAAAAGATTTAGACCCAATAACTATAAATCAAATCCCGAAACTGAATATTTAGATGTAATTTTCTCTTAAGTAGATTCTTAGTGATAGAACCCCTCCCCCCCCCTCTATCACTTCACATATCTACAGTAGGTTGATACATGAACACGTCTCTCTACCTGCAAGTTCCAAATTCCTGGATTAAGGATCGCGTGTGTTTCACAATGAGCTCTACGGAAATTACCTACACCGTAAAAACTTCAAATTTAAAGTTTATTGTAAGGAAGCAATATAACTAAATTATGCAGAAACTGTAACTTGTAACCGCAGCGGTGCCAACCCGAGGAGGAACGGCTGTGTGAAGGTAGTGTTCAGATCAATATGTGTAGGAGGTGGTGAAGGCCGCACACACCACCATTACCACAAGTGCAAGCTGGGACTCAAACACAAACTCTCCACTTAACCAAGGCTCTACTCGCCTTCACGATACAACACCTGACATAACCATTTCCCACTATTAATTAAACGATACATAAACATCCAGTTACATATTAAGAAATTCGCTTATACTGTAATGGGATAATCTCAGCACAGTTACATATAATTAACTTAATAAATAGTCTTTTCTTTGACATATGAGCTATACAGTCCAGCAAGTGTGGCCGAGCAGGTGGTGACTGTCAAGTTGGTGGGTGGATCGATCACACCGTTGCTATAGTGTTTACCTGCCTCCAGGTTTATATCCACACACACACACCGAGGCCGTCACTCCCATTACCCCACGCTACGACTTTCGCTCTTACCTCGCTGATATTACCACCTCACGTTATCGGACAATCCCTAGAAATAATCAAGTGTGAGGTAAGAGAGTGCTAGTAGTAGAGCTATTGTGCCCGGGGCCTGCTAACTACTCACGCCAATGTTTCAAACTTGTGGAATATGTTGGCAGTAATGGAAGTCACTTTCTCATGCTCAACATAACCTACACACACACACACACACACATCCTTGATAAATAAGTTTTCTTGCTATTGTTTCATTACAAATACTATTATTAATTCATATAAATATTACGAAGAATGGCATAAATTTAAAGCCTTCATGCACTCAGCTTTATTTTGTTATATAGCGATAAATAGGTTAATTTTCTATGGTATGAGACAATATCGGGGTTTTCCCAAGATAGTGGAGACAGAAGAACATACACTTGGATGGGAGTGACCTGGGGAAGGAGTGGCGAGCCGTAGGCATCACTCAGTCCAAGCGCGTGGCAGCGGCTTTTGTTTATCTCAACTCGCTCACACCACATTACCTAAGTTCGATAAGTACAAAATAACAGAATCGGAAACTTACACATTTATTCGCAAAGAAAAGACCTTGACATATTCCAATCGATGATGATTCATTCTTACACGCTAGAAATAAATAATAAATAAATTGACTATGCCAGTAATGATTGACACCAGCCAGAAATAGCAACTGTGTAAGTATGCAAGCCTAAAAAAAACAAGAACTACTGTTTTCTTACGGTCAGTAGATGAGATTGTGTGTGTCCATCCAATGCTAAGGTAGATGTATAAATGTCCTACCACTACAACTAATACCTACACTTGCAACCCTACACACCTGTCTCACATCCCATACCTGGTCTTTTCTTTACTGCCTACAACTATTGCTCTACACATCTGTCTAACATCTCACACCTGCTCTTTCCTATACTACCCATAACTACTGTCTTACACACCTGTCTCACATCCCACACCTGTGTTTTTCCTTTACTAACCACAACTATTGATCTACACACCTGATTTTTCTTCTATTACTGCCCTACACACCTGTCTAATATCCCACACCTGTTCTTTTCTTTACTACCTACAACTGCTGCCCCGTTCATCGATATCACACACAAAGCCTCACACTACTGAACAAAGGAGGGCAAGAAGGGCCCCGAGCAGGTAACAGACAACTAGCGATCGATCACCACCACGATGAGGAAGAGCGTGACACGACAACGAAAAAATAACACTAAAAATAACAATAAAAAAACAAGAGATTAGAGACAGGAAATTAACGAAATGCAACGAGAGAACTTTTAACCAGAGTCGATTTGACTCTTCTGAAGTAACCTTGACCTCTCTGTGGTTCGTTCGTTGCCCAATACTTCAAGTCTGCAGTGGGTGAGTGTGTACCATTTCTTTGATAATGAGTTACCAGTGTACGTGTTACCTTGATGGCAGTACGAACCTAAACGTGTATATGTGAGAGTTATAATAGATAATTTATCGACTCTTCATACAGCTGGCAACAGTGCATAACGTCATCGTACATCCGGCACTACATAAAACAAAGTTAAAAGGCCTGAAAAATATTGAAATAAAACTTTAATTATGTAATTTTCTTTCCTCGTTCACAAAACTCGTGGATGGTGGGTGTAATTTTGGCCATAACATCACGGACGCCCCGCCACCACGCGATGATGATGGCGTTAATGAAAAGAGAAATAATTATGATGAAAATAAGAGAAGCGACATTTATAATGATGAAAATAACAGGTTTTTCTTGTTAATATCTCCGCCTCCATCACCGGTCATCCCCGAAGCGGGTGGTAGACGTAATGTTAGCCCACGTTATTATTGTCAATCAAAAAGATTTATATTACTTTGTATCATATATGGGAAGTAGATCCACCCAAGAATAACACCCATGAAACATGACCTTCTCTACAGTATATCAATGTTAATATACATGGACTGTTGGACATCTATATACAGTACAGTACAATATGTAAATTTATATATCTTCCTGCCTTTATAATGTATATTTCTGAATATACAGAGTGCCCCGAGTCTTGTTCTGGTTTGGTTGGAATACAACTTTAAAACCGGAATCAAACTGTGGTCACCCTTTGTATATACAGGTACATGATGATACTTTAAAATGACATATACAGAGATATCAGAACTTCACTAATGGAGTAAATCTGTAGATGTGGTTACTTCACAAATAGCGTACGTCTGTTGACCACCACAGCATTGCTAAACCCACCGAGCTAATTATAATTCATCTAAAGAATATTCTCTGTATAGCTTATTTAAAAATGAACACTGCGACTCCTAACAAAATTGCAACGATACTTTTCATTGTGTACGCATCACGACAATTAGGCTTACTCTCACTGACAGTATAATATCACACTGAGGTGCCGTTCGTACACTGCTGTTACTGTATAACAAGTAGGGCGAGAAATAGGTGAACGAACTAAGCCAGGGCTCATTATATATACTGTACATGCGATCAATCTAATTTGCATGAATCAACTCTGTTAATGTATTGTTGCAACGCACTGCCAGTATATAACCGTGAGACACACACACACACCTCTCAATGCTAAACATAAACAGAACGAGACTAACATAAAACTCCAAGCTGAAATGTAGGTGGATCCCCCGATACGGTAAATCAATAAATATTTCGTCGTATAGGGCACAACAGTAAGGCGCTGGAAGCTACCCTTTTAACTTACTAAAGCATATTAAAATGGGAAACACTCCTGCGTCACCACAGTGATTGGAACATTCCCGATATTTCGTTGAGGTGTACATACGAGTACAGTAGGCGCCTCAGGGCAGTATCCCAGGTCCACAGCTGTTTGTCTCCAGCACCACTAACCGAATTAATGTACCGGTACTTCCGTATTTTGGGACCATAGTCGAAGCTAATAAAACTTTTGTTGGTTTTTAAAGTCCTCTTCTATGGTATCTGCAACCATGACAGCAAACCAGGTAGATCCAACAATAAAAACATTGAACTATCATCTAATACTTACAGGACGCATAAGTGCAATCTTGTAAAAAAAAAAAAAAAAAAAATTAATGGATACTCCTGTGTCAACTCTCCCACACTTTTATAAGAATTTATGAGTAGAGAGGGCTGTTCGATTTCCATTTCGTATTTTATCGAACATCCTCTATTTCTCTTTAATTGCTTCTGTACTATTCACTTGTTCCGTTTCTAAAACCATATTTAATTCCACAGTTTTGACTCGACTTGGGCCGGGTCTCTGTAATGACAACCAGTCACAAAAGCAGGAACAAAAATATCTTTTGCATGAGCATACTTGAGTGTGAGTCGTAACTCAAGTAAAATTAAGGAGTTCGGATCTGGATAGGTGACTAAATGTTACAATATTATTTAACCACTACGAAAAAAGAAAGAAAATGAAAGAATGAATAAACTAACATTGCATTAACTCAGACTGCCACAATACAGTCAAGAAATAAGACAGGCTCGTACCGTAGACTTCCTTGTCGGCACGTGAAATAATCGTCACTTTCACGATGGTAAAAAAAGAAAGAAAATCAAGCGGTACCCTGCTGTCAAAGAGTCTGTTAGCCAATAGTTGCTGCAATTCGTAAACAAAATTCACTCAACAGTTACTTAAGACATCGTGACAATAGCTTAAATTATTACTGCTCTTTCAATACCTTGGACCAATACGCTGCGAGGATGGACTCAGTCATTTATGAAAAATTGGCAGAAAAGATGCTTAAAATGTTAATTGTGTAATAAAAGCGGGTATGTTTGAGCAGTTACACATCAATATTAGGTTTGAACAGAGAAATTCACGACATTCCGAGTCCCGCGGAAATAATATGGCCAGCGGAGTTCCATTTGGTGAATATAACAGACCTAAACTTCAACTAACATTTACTTCCCATCAGTAGAATTGTGTGCGGGGGATAGAGCTCATTATGAACTATATTCAGTATTCTGTCCCTATTAATAAAAGTATTTCTTCATGTTAATTCCGAATCCAGGAGCTACTTAACGCAATAACCTAATACTTTAAATTGCAGGGTGCTGGGCTATAATATGAGGACTACACAAATACCCGGAACTGGAGACTGTAATTACTAATAAAAACTTGATTAATTTGGAAGAACAATCTGTTTAGTTGTCACTGAATAATCTATGTGCAGCAAAAATAATTACGTAGTGAATTACCACCATTATGTTTTATATTTGGCCAGTTGTCAGTAGGGTGGGAGAAAGCGGCTGAGAGAGGCAGGGGACCTCACGTAGCAGATGGCTTCCTGCACACGCGATATATTTAAAGTTTTATCGACACTCAGACACACAAGTACGCACACGGACCAGACTTGCTCGCATACACAGGCTTTACCACACACCTATGTACAGTTGGCTCCACTCCTACGTTTACAACCTAGAGTTGCCAATTCCCTCTCTCTCTGAGGTGTGAACACTGAACTCACATGTCAGCTGGAAAGAGAAAGGAGGGGTGTGTCGGGGTAGGTGTCTTTCTGGGGGTACTGTGGGTGAGGACGGAAAGTGTAAATCAGTTGAGATATTACAATGCAGGATAACGCGTTGACAATACTGTTCAGACGAACGACAGATTTTCACGTTTCATCGATTTCCTCTGGATGTAAAGAGGTAATGGTACAGTCAATATGAGGCGTTTCGTGAAGCCTATCAAATTACTGCGTGGCGGCACCGAGCACTATAATCAAAGTGATACTGTAGGTACTAAAGGCTGCTCTTTAGCACAGTTCTGTCACTTAAGTAAAATTATGCTGTAAATTTTGCACCGAATATGTGTACTATATGAATTTAATCATGTTCCACATCTCGTCAAATTGTGGTCATACGTCAAACATATAGCAAAATGTATTTAACTTTTACAGTTCCAATTTCAACTGCAACGTTGCCAGCTAGTAGAAGCAGAGAGAATGCAATATATGACAAGAACACGTCATAATACAAAAATACTACATGAACAGATAGAACCTTAATTGTCGTCACTTAAGTGCAGTAAATTTACGTAAAACATGTAATTTCCTTAAGCTAAACTACGTTCACTAAGGTCTACAATGAACAACAAGTAGCAACTGTATTAGAAGTTATGAAAAATATTACGTACAGCTGTGTGTTTATTAATATCACCTCATACTATCAAGCTGATACGAGTCTCTTGCATGTCCTCGTATATATTCTTGTTGATTCCAAAGCATTTAGGTACCATAAAATGAATGCGTAGTGTAGTGATTAATTAAAAACAAATTCTCTAAATGTTTATAAAATATTTACTATTTATTCCATATAATTGTGATATAAAAATGTCACATTAGATTTTTGCACTAAATGTTTGTAGTAAGCATACCAGACTAGCGTAAAGCGTACAGGGTGGCAAATAAGTCATACCCTAACACAATTGTATTATTTATACGTTCTCGGTAAAGCGACTTAACGCACCACCCTGTATAAATGTTTACTGTTTCTCCATTATAAATGAAATGTGTGTTTTATTTAATGTGTGTACCAGTGTGTTATACAGTAGAGCTAAACTTATGCTATATTTACTGTGAAGAAAACAAATAGAATGAGTTAACTTTTTTTTAGTAACATTTGTAATCGAAGGTAAAGATGGTGACCTTATCGTTGTAGGTTTATGAATAAATACCTTTAGATCTACCCCAGGACAGGTTTCCATCTTCGTGTCCAAGCAGCTGTCAGTCCGAGCAGCTGTCAGTCTTATAGAGTACGACGTGTCCGAACAATAAACGGAGTCAAAGCAGAAGCGGAGACGGAGTAGACAGCTAAATTTGACAGCTAGAACCGCTACCCAAGAAGAGTGGAATGGGGTTAGTGGAGGGTGTTATTCTAGGGTAAGGGGAGTGGAAGTGGGGAGTGTAGGAGGGAGAAGGTGATGGTAAAAGGGGAGTAAAGGGGGGAAAGGAAGAGGTACGAGAAAGGAAGTGGGGAAACAAGGGGAGGGGAAGAGGGTGGGAACAAGAGGAAGAGAAGAGGGGGGAACAAGAGGAAGGGAAGAGGGGAATAAGAGAAAGGGAAGAGGAGGAACAAGATGAAGGGAAG